GTCCTCACGAAAATAAAGTCGTTTACAGTATTTTAAAATGAAGAAACTGCCTTGATTCGCTTCGTCCTGAGTGGTGCTACGCAGAGAAGCAATAACATGTATTTTATGAGCCGTTTGTGTGGATATTGTTTTAGGGACTGCGCCGAATTGTTATTTGTTGTACCAATGCTTTTTAGTAAGAGATATCGTCAACGACCTTCAAAACACTGTTTCCCCTTTGACAGACTCCCGAGGAGAAAATCGAATACTTGGAACCTTAGTAAGCGCAGAAATGGTCACCGAAAATATGATTACCTTCAATATGTAGGCTATATAAGGCTCTAGAGCAGTCAACGGGACTGTGAATGGGCTGTTCAGTGCGTCATGGTGTTTGTGTTTGTGTTTGTTTCTAATGTACCTTTGTGAGATGTACCTAGTAGTGCCTTCAAATACCACAGGGACACCATTTGCTGACAAAATCGAAAATAAAAAAAAAATTGTGTAACCGGTTTTTAATGCACAAATGGCATCTTGAGTGTGAAGCGATAATATTTTTGGTATATCTAAAATATTTTTTAATTCATATTTATAATGTATTTTGAATACGTTACGCGCGTATTTCGGATGCGGCCAAAATAATACAGAATAAATGCAAAATGAATATTCGTACTAAATATATTTCAACTACGTTTGAAGTACGGCCTCTCTTTGCTAAGGGGGGTCACGTGACCTCGGGGGTCACGTGACCTGGGGGTGGTCACGTGATCTTGGGAGGGGTCACGTGACCTTTGGGGGTCACGTGACCTTGGGGGACCACCCCTTAGCAAAGAGAGGCCGTACTTCAAACGTAGTTGAAATATATTTAGTACGAATATTCATTTTGCATTTATTCTGTATTATTTTGGCCGCATCCGAAATACGCGCGTAACGTATTCAAAATACATTATAAATATGAATTAAAAAATATTTTAGATATACCAAAAATATTATCGCTTCACACTCAAGATGCCATTTGTGCATTAAAAACCGGTTACACAATTTTTTTTTTATTTTCGATTTTGTCAGCAAATGGTGTCCCTGTGGTATTTGAAGGCACTACTAGGTACATCTCACAAAGGTACATTAGAAACAAACACAAACACAAACACCATGACGCACTGAACAGCCCATTCACAGTCCCGTTGACTGCTCTAGAGCCTTATATAGCCTACATATTGAAGGTAATCATATTTTCGGTGACCATTTCTGCGCTTACTAAGGTTCCAAGTATTCGATTTTCTCCTCGGGAGTCTGTCAAAGGGGAAACAGTGTTTTGAAGGTCGTTGACGATATCTCTTACTAAAAAGCATTGGTACAACAAATAACAATTCGGCGCAGTCCCTAAAACAATATCCACACAAACGGCTCATAAAATACATGTTATTGCTTCTCTGCGTAGCACCACTCAGGACGAAGCGAATCAAGGCAGTTTCTTCATTTTAAAATACTGTAAACGACTTTATTTTCGTGAGGACATAACTCTCGCAAAGTTCGCGAATCGCCTACAATTCCGAAAAATAGGTCCCGTGAACAATTCCGGCAAAATGTAAAGACATTAAAATCTATATTGCGATCCCAGCGCGTCGCGAAAATTAGAATTTGCGAATTATTAAAAAACTCCAACTTTGACCTAAATCGCGAAATATTGAGCCCGCGAAAAATAAATATTTTACAGTAGTTGTTTTGCATTTCCATTTTAGTAGTTGACTATTTAATATGGTAGTTAATATCACTATATTAAAGTCACTATTCACATCACGTACAATGGTGAGTATACACGTTCAGTGAACTAACATTGTGCTAACAAAACCACTCCAAACGTATCTGGTCACAGCACCTGCTGAAGCTTTCCAGCATCAGCAAATATTGTAGTTGCAGTCCCCGAACCCCGTTTGTGATTGGTGTGCAAGGAACTGATCAGGTGTGTCCTTGATAGAAAAAAGGAAACAATAACATAAACTGGGCTGATTTATCAGTGCGATGCTCCGCAATTCAGTTGACAAACTAATCAAATGTTGTATTTAGGCGCTTCAGTGTACTCCATATCTACTTGAAGTGAACTTCTAGAAGGAGAGCTTTTCAATATTTTGGTAGTTTAAGTCAAACTACCAAAGTATTGAAGTCAAAAGGTACTTCGAGTATAACACAACAGTATTTACGATTTTCAGGTATTTTAAGAGTATTCTGCACGTATTTTTAATTGCTCCATTTTTTTTAGGGTTGGAGTATATTTTGCATGAATTAAATAAATATTTCAAGAAATATACGTGAAGGGTATTTTGTGCCTATTAATTTAGTATTTACATATTTCAAAACGCATGAAGGGAACTTCAAATGTAGTTTAAGTAAAGGTATTTTAAAATGATTTTAGAAGTATATTTTAGTACTAAGTAGAAAAAAAAGAAGTTTATATTTTCGGTCTACTTTTCGTGTACTTAAAATTATGAACTGTATTTCAAGTACACTCAAATTAGAATGTGGTATATTTCAAACGTATTAGTTTTCGCTAAGGGACGTGACCTTGGGGTGACCTAAGTTACGCCGACGGCGACGGCGACGGCGACGCCGCTCAAGCCGGAAACGGGCGCCTAAGAGCTGCGCCCTAAAATGGCATAATGACACGACAGAACCCTAAACATGCAAGCTCGCTTCCTTTGTATTATTAGCAGATTTATATATTTCGATTTCCTACTCAGACATTTTCCGCATTTCATAACTTCAATCCATTTCACCAAGCATCAACCTCGAATTCTTAGAACACTACTTGCCGTTCTTACCTGTAAGGGACACCTTTTTACTTTTCAATCGTTAGTTCTGTTTCTCGATTTCGGCATACATGGCACCTGAAACTCTAAGAACGACGAGACATTGCACGAGTGTGCATACAGGTGTGCAAGCGGCCACGTTGCAGTCTGCACCGTTGGCGTAACAAGCTTTGCTGGGGCACCAGGCTGGCAACTGTGGGCACGCCTTAGCGAGGCTTAACTATTAGACAACCTACACATACCCCAGCAGCAAGATGGCGAAGCCGACGTCAAACCTGTGGGAGAAGGGAAAGGGGAGAGCGGGAAGGCGAGGGGGGAGTGATCGCTACCCCGGACATATTTGAGATATTTCTAGTAAACAATGCGGGGAGCGGGGGAAAGGGGGGGGGGAGCGATGCATTTCCTTTGGCACCCCCCCCCCCTCTCTCTCTTTCAAACACTTCCGTCAGTTCCGCACAATTCATTGGTTGATGCGTGTTGTTTACGCTCAAAGGAAATTTTTTAACAGCAGTTTCGCGAGGAGTTGTAGTGACTGAATACCTGAGGTATGACGTAGTAGAATGTCCCCACAGCTGTTGACGGTTTCGACCTTTCAGTGCCGTCAAGCCGTGACAAAAGCACGTGTACCGATGAGCTTGTGTTGTCTCATGTGTCAACATATCGAGATTTATTGAAGGGTTCGTCGTATCTTTTGTTGCTTCAGTTGTTTGACACACAGCACTGCTGCGAACGGTGATGCAAGAAAGTTTCCATCCATGCCCCTTTGGCTTCTTTCTCGACTGCGGTTAAAGACCTACATACGAAAAAGGTTCGAATCCGTGATTGCTACCGAACTCACCTCTTGCGCGTCCGTTCGCCCTTCTTTGTGGACACCGGGAAACGCTAAAGAATGAGTGCCTCATGAAGTTAATTTGCAAAGGGAACTGAGGAGCGTGTTGGTTTAATGATAAATGACGCTGAAAGAATAAAACAAATTTGAAACGGACAACCAGTATTTCATCTCGCAACAACGTAAATGATTACAAAAGCATTCTTTGCAATCCAAACCGTCGGTAGCAAAAAAAAAAAGAAAAAGAAAGAAAGATAGAAAAAAAAAGGGAGAAAGGGACGCAGGAACAGGGAGGGTAAAGTAAATAAAACGTGTTTATAACTATAAGAAAAAAAGAAGGAATCATTTGCAGTAAAAACTGCGTTGCAAGATGGCGGTGAAGAACGAATATCCAGCTAGGTGAGTTCTGGCGCCAGAACTGACTTAGTTGCATGTTCATTCTCCACTTCCACGTGATAACCTGGTTTTTATGGCAAATCGCTCCTTTTTTCTTTCTTATACTTTTAAACGCGTTTTAGTTACTTCACTTTCTCTTCCCACGTCCCTTTGTCTTTTTATCTCCCTCTTTCTCTTTTTTACCGACGGCTCGGACTGCAAAGAATGTCTTTGGAATCATTTATGTTGTTGCGAGACGAAAGATTGGTCGTCTGCCCCAAACATGCGTTTTATTCTTTCAGCGGCAGGTAAGTATACTTATTTTTAATTTATTCATAGTCATCGTCTCAAATTTTAGCTAAATAAATTGAGCACACAAAAAATACCGACTTACTCATTGACATAAAACGCATCAACGAGTAAGACGTGTAGAATATCGTTTCGCTCGAAACAGAGCTTTTAATGCATGAAATGTGAATGACATCGTCACTCCAATTTTCTGGCAATACCACATTCTTACTTTGTGACTTTACGAAAATACTAAAAAAAAAACGGTTGTCCCACTTTTTTTTTAAACACAATTAAAAAAATACGTTGTATTCACCACTACGACGCTTAAGCCGCGGTTACATTCGCTAAATCATCATACAAAAGATAGTCTGCAGACAGAAGAAAGTTTTAGGAAACCGTTTCTCTACGTCCAATACGGTACAATGGGTCCATCGGTAAGAACTGCGCATGTGCGTCCGCAGAAGACGCGCGCATGGCCAGTTCGTACCGGAGACCTCCCCGTACCGTATGGGATGACAAAAACGGTTCCCTAAAACTCTCTATTGCCTGCAACGTGTCTTCTTGTTCCCTTGTATGACAGTTCTTTAACATTGGTCATACAAGAACCGACTACAAACATGTTCAAAGCGTACATCTGTATGAACCAAACATGCTTCAAAGATATCTTGAAGCGTTCGCAGATAATCCTCTCATCATGTATGCAGGGAACATCTTGTCTTTTGTAGAATGTGCGAGCGGTGCGATTGGGGCTTCGAGTGCATAGACGTGGCCCGCATTGACAACAGGCAGCGTCAATCCGAGCTGTTGCTGCGTCCCAGCAAAAGCAACGACTTCTAAGGTCTTTCACACAGTAGGGCTGGTCAAACTTCAGAGGAATTGGGCTCCGCATTACGAATCGCACTACCCCGAGGTGGAAGTCCTCCCTGACCGGGCAAAAAAATATATATCCGGAAGGAAGTCGATTTCCCGGATCTTCATCGTGACCTCCGGGTAAGAGTATCGCTGCTGGTCCTCCCGGAGAGCAGACCACTCGATGCCGTCGCCATAGCTGGAGTGGGCTCCGTTCAAGTTGAGGCCGTTCAGGTTGCTCTGGTGGCACCCGACGTACCACCAGCCCCCGCGGTACTCTTGGGCGCAGTTTCGAGCGTCCACGTCGTGGTCCCGGTCGAAAGTGCTGAAACTCGCGCCGTCCGCGTAACTGAGCGCGTCCGAACCTGCGGATGGACAGATGGGGGTTTAGTGCTTAGATATCCCGGGTTTCACGGGGTTCATATTTACTCCTGGAGCCAATCAAAGCAGCGCCGTAAAGGCATCGTCGCGGTTCATATGCACTCCTGGGGCCCTAAACTCGTCAAACCCAAAGTTGGAGCCGAAAGTTTGCAGAGCGCGCTGATTGGACGTTGGCGAAAAAAGCGCAAAGTCATCGTCGTGATAGACCAATCGGTGCGCTCCGTCAACTTCGGCCCCAACTTTGTGTTTCACGAGTTTAGGGGCCCTGGGTCTCTAAACTCGTCGAACACAAAGTTGGGGCCGAAGTTGAGGGAGCGCAGCGATTGGCCCAACACGACGATGACTTCGCGCTTTTTTCGGCGACGTCCAATCGGGGCGCTTTGCGAACTTTTGGCTCCAACTTTGTGTTTGACGAGTTGAGGGTCCCTGGGGCCCTAAACTCGCCAAATACAAAGTTGGAGGCAAAGTTGACGGAGCGCGCCGATTGGACAATCACGACAATGACTTCGCGTTTTTCTCGTCGACACCCAATCAACGAGCTCCGCGAACTTTCGGCTACAACTTTGTATCTGACGAGTTTAGGGCTCCTGGAGTCAAATCATGCGGCACATAAAGAGCATCGTCACGGCAATTGTTTTTTGTGGGATTGGCTAAACCAATCGCGCACAAGAAAATGCGGGGGATCGCGTCGAATTCATTGTGAGTGATTGGTTGAGTCACTGAAAAGCAGACGCGCAAAGGTGATGAGCGCCGTGACGATGCGTTTTTGACGCTGCTTGATTGGCTCTATCTAATCGTAATGTCCGTTGAGGTCGGATTTCAAGCGAAACGGAGTATGGGAATCCAAGCGTTCGCCTGAGTATCGTATTCTTCTTCTTTTTTTTTTTTTTTTGACTATACGGACAGCAAGTTCGTCTGCTTCCTTTTGCAGTATTTTTTTAAGACTGTTAAGGCTGGTGTACACCCTTAACCTTTGATTGCTGCCGAGCATGTTGTGCAGCCTTGTGCTTCCTTGTAATCGCATACGACGAGAAAACAACAACAATGGGTTCTATCTTCTGAACACTTGCGATTTCTATAAATTTCCTAATTTGTTTGCCCATCATTTTTTTTCCACTGTGAGATTGAAAGAAAAATATTTTTACAATGTTATAAACGCCCATTTCTCATAGAGAGTATGTACATTTGATTCCGTAAATAGCGCGAAACCTTCACTCCAGTTATATGCATTTCAAGGGCGTCCTCGAATATGGCGCCAGCGTGGCAGGATGTTCTCTCGTCATCATGTAGTAGGAGAAGGCTGCATAAAAACTGCGTAACGCACTTGGTGGCGACCAAACAGTGTCTAAACCAAACTGTAATATGCGTGATACAGAGAGTTTACGAAGTAGAGAATTTGCGACCGCAACATTCAGAGATTCCATTCTTCAAGAACGCGTACATCTTAAAGGGGTGCTTAACCGAAATTTTTCAAGCTCACAAAACAAGGTTAGAGCGATAGGTGGGACGCTGCGAAACCCCAAAACATCACTTATGCAGCGATATTTCTAACGGATGGCAATTTACTTGGAAAAAGAAGTGCGCAATAGAACACGGCCGACGAGGCCCACGAGACATATGTGACTTCACGATTTTCGTTCCCTCTCCTCTTCGCTTCGTACCCTCGAGCAGGTGAACCAAAGCGAAGAGTTGAGAGAAGGCTGCTTACCTTTATTCTCAACTGTTGGAAGAGAGTCGTGACGGTACATTCCTCGCTTGATCGCGCGCCCTTCTTTTCCAAACATAAGGCCATCCCCTTGAGGAATCCCGGAGAAAAGCTCACCGGAGAAAAGCTCACCGGAGAAAAGCTCACCGGAGATAAGCTCACCGGAGAAAAGCTCACCGCAAAACCGTCGGATGCGGAGAAAAGCTCACCGGCCATTGAGCGTATGCGGAGAAAAGCTCACTGATATTTTTTCTTCTTTTTATATGGAGGTTGTTGGATCGTGCGTAACATATATCAATTTATTATCATTAAAATTCGTCAGCTTTGTAAAAAATAAAATGTCCTCTTTTGTAATATTTGTTAGGCTTATTGGGTATATTGCTCCCAAATTAATAATTGCGGGCGAGTGTTTTTTGTGGCTTACTCTCTAGGCAACAAAGGCCTAACTAATATCTTTATGAACTTGAAGAACAGGAAAAATTTAAAAAAAAGAACGTAATGATGACTGCCTAAAACCTAAAAATCAGAGGTGTAAATGCCAAAAATTCAAAAGTGCTTGCGCAACAACGCGGGGCCTGAAATTCTCTTTGAAGCGTTTGTTAACATTTGAAAACAGGATAAAACAGTCAATAGGATATCGAGGCTTCTTCCACGGACATGCACGCTTTCTAGCCGTTCGAGCTGGTGTTTCCACGCGTTCCCTTTGTGTGATAGTGCCTTCTACGGTGAGCCACCCATGACCTTTAGAGGTGCACACTGGCACCGTTGTTACTCGTGAGCAATATAAGAACTAGTCTTTTGTAAGGTAGGTAGCGAATTGGGCGAGTTGGTAAACGATATACATGATGAAAACCGCTCAAACGACGACGACTGAGTGAAGACAACGAACACGACACGACGAAGCTGTTCTCGCAACTAAAGTTTTGTTAGTGAAATTAACAGAAGAAAACAGCGTAGCCGACACTGATTGCATTAACAGACATCTACTTATCTATTAGGCACCACACAATATTTCGACCTCAAGCGATTCACACACCGCTATTCATATTAGCTCGCAAAAAACAAACCTCTTTATCTGACAGAGCTACCGACGGCGCACCCTCAGCTGTCAATAAATTGTTGCCTTATTTTACCGGTGTACGATGTTCTGATTTTATACTTGCGGCTTCATTAATTTACAGAATGGGTGATTTCTAATTTCTGAGGAATTAGTAAATATTCCCAATGAACCTCAAGATTATTACAAAAACGAGGACATATTTTTAATGAAGTGACGAATGCGAACCGTGTTAAACTGCCAAGTTTGACGCAGAATCAAGCTAAGCTAAAAAAATAACGGTGAGCTTTTCTCCGCATCTGCTGAAAGGCCGGTGAGCTTTTCTCCGCATCTGCCGGTTTTGCGGTGAGCTTTTCTCCGGTGAGCTTTTCTCCGGTGAGCTTTTCTCCGGTGAGCTTTTCTCCGCCGCCCCCCCTTGAGGTATCGAATAACGAGTGATGTTTTGGAGCTCGTAGTGTCCCGTTCAACGCTTCTGCGGTCTTATTTTTGCGAAATCCGAAATTCAGTTCAGCCTGTTTTTGTTTTTGCATTCCCTGATCAGATGTTAATTGTTTGACAAAAAAAAAATGAAAATGCGTATAACTAGAGTAGACCAAGGCCACCTCATATACAATGCTTTCGGAACAGAAATATAAACTAAGTATCTTGAAGTTTTAAGTCTTTGCCCGTAGCATAAAGACATCAGCCTTACGCCCTTACCTGATGGCCCAGTAAAACCCGCGAGAGAGAGCTTGTACTCTTCAGCCTCGTTGGCAACCTTGAATGTTGGATAGACCACGACGATGGTTTCACCAGTGTGATTTTTCAGTTCAATCCTGAGCACGTATTTCCTCTCTTGAGAAGTCAAGTCGTGAAGTACGTTGTTTCCTTTACCAGAAAAAAAAAACAAAAACAAAAAAACGTTAAGACATCACGCTCATGACAACCAAATTGCTCTTGAATTTACGCTAAATTTAGTGTTGCTAGTAAACGTTCAAAAAGAAAAATAGGGCCCGTTCTCGTTAGCTGAAGTAGTTAATCTTTATGTATTCGTGCGGTTAGTCGGCCACCATTTTCCCCCTGAAAATTTCGGAAAATCGCTTGTAATTTTTCAATAAGATAACGGCAAGTTCCAAAAGATTGGCATCTGGCCTAAACCGCTACTACCACAGTCGGGGGAAAAGTGAGCTTTCGGCGATGAATGGTTTAATTTTGCAAGAAACAAGAAAAAAAGAAAACTTTAATTTTTTCTTTTTTTAGAAAGGGGGAGGGGGGGCCGTGATTCTGTAAGCAGATGAAAGAAAACATACTGTGATGGAATGCCCGTGCCCTTACCAATCCAGTATTCCTTGTTCGGATCACCAAATCCCTGAGTGTACTCCGTCCAATTGCGGTAGAAATAGTAGACGCTGTTGCCGAACTGGCCCCTCTTCTGAATCGTCTGGTGGATTGTTAAAGAACAAACGCTTCGTGACTATCGTCTTCTCCTTCACACCGGCTTCATTTGTACGCTTATAACTCGGGCTACTTTCTAGTTTCTAGATAGTCAATAATCATGTCGTATCATCCTCAACAGTCAGTCAGTGAACGTTTTATTAGGCGGTACATCATAGCCGCTTTGTGTGTAGGGTTACAAAAGCGGAAATGACGCTGTAAAACAAATTTCCCAAATTGGAGCTTGCATATAGGAAACTCAAACTTTCACCTAATGTGCACTGAGCAGGTGAGTTTTACCGTGTGAATTGTCGAAACGTAGTTTTCTTTCTTCTGAAACGTACAAGCAAAAACTTGCTGAAGTCGACGTCGAGAGCGTTCGCAGACGACCGAGTAAGCGACGCAATTAACTTGTGGCGCCATCTCCTGATAGGCGCACTCTGTTATCTGCTCGCTGCGCCAATCATGAGATGGCACCACAAGTTAATAGCACCGGTAACTCGAAGACTGAAATAGATTGACGGCGCAGGTGGGCTGGTTAATATTTGGCAACATATTAATACAAGAGACCCGGAAGATGAAAGGACATACTGAAAACCGTCTGAAACACAACTAAAAGTTTGATAACCCCCCTCCCCCCCCCCTTCCCCTCTTATAAAAAAACACACGCGGTCACTATCTGTTTTATCTGTTTCCGGAAGTGACAATGAACCCAATCCTCTGCACCCACTTTCATCCTACAAGGTCACACTCTCCAACAAAGGAAAGGACACGTTCTTAAACTCCATTATGTAGCTTGAGAACATAGAAAAAATCGTAAGGGTGCAGGCGAGCTGGTGAATATTAACCATGTTGAATTAACCTGAGACTGGAATAGAGAAGAAACATAAAACGTAGAAGGGACCGAAAATAGACAGGACGACGTCTCAAGAATGTACTGTCCCTTCTACGTTTTTATGTTTCTTCTGTACCTCAGTCTCAGGTTAATTCAACATGCTTGAAAACTTGTCCTGCCTTTTGTTGGAGAGTGTGACATTGTAGGCACTTCCGGGAACAAATGAAACAGGTAGTGACCACGTGTGTTTTTAATGACTGTGGGTTGTGTGAATCAAACTTTTAGTTGTGTCTGAGGCGGTGGTGTGTACGTCCTTTTTGTTTCCGTGTCTCCGGTTTTATTATGTTGCCGGTAACTCGGCCGTCTGCTAACTCACCTCACGTTGACTTCGGCAGGTTTGTTGCTCTCATTTTTACGGGAAGATAACAACGCCTTGAAACTTCACATGGTAAAACCTACCTGTTCTGGGCACATTTAGTGAAAGTCTAAGATTTCTATGTAGAGGTGCCGATTTTTCCGGCTCGTTGTACAGCGTCAGATCCGCTTGTCCACCCTACATATAATCTATCCCCTCATCCTGAACGATCAGGATGGATGTAAAAATCATTGGGGCTGAGCCCTTTCAATAGGACGGCTGCATGCGCCATCTAGCCTAGGGATATTACCACTTGTCCCCTCTTTCAAAAGTTATCAGCAAAACACACAAATTTTTTTTTCCTTTCATTCGAACAATTTTATGAATTGTAGCATTCCATGGAAGAATTCTAGACGGTAATTACACATTCTCAATTAGTAGTTATCAGACTCAGGAACTTTTTTATTCCCGTGCCCCACATATTTCTTTCCATGGGGACGTACAAAGACAACTTTTGGAAAATCTTGAATTTCTGACCAATATATTGATTCCTAGAAACTAAAGAGTGCTCACATTGACTGTAGGTCATTTGTAGACAAATGACCGCCATCTATAAGAAACGTTATATCACCATGAATTGTAATAATCCCGAGAAATATCACACGCAAAACGTACAATTTCGATATTGTTATAGTAAATAAGTCTTATTCCTAAGTATATTTTGGTATTGGCTGCAGTAATATAATCTTTAAACTTGTGCCCGTTACTTGAAATATGTAATAGATTACAATTACAAAAAACCGAGCTTCAAATGTAATGAATTACCATTAAAATTTTATTTCTTTTTTGAAAAGTACCATAAGTGGCTACTTCACTCGTTACGTTACGAATTACTATCACGTTATTTTTCCCGTACACTTATCAAGAAAACATTAGATACAATATTGATATTTAAAAACAAATGTTCTGTAAACCTAATTGCCATTTCTCATACGCCGCAGTCCTTGTTAAAATCAAATATTGTATTTAAAAGAAATAATGTAGGTGCACTTCGTCCACCTGTAAGCTGACAGAGCAGCGAAAGTTGCAACCACACCCGCCACCCCGCCAGGTTTTGACGACCGGAAGTAACCCAGGAATTCTGCAGAAAATCTAGCGGTGAGCATGCTCAGTAACAGTGCCTACCTCCGCGAGGTGATTCGGATGTAATGAACCAATCTACGAAAGCTCCCTTCTGGAATGGGCCTTTCAAGGGTGAGCGCAATGCCTCATAGACGAAGTCTCATGCTTACTACTTTGACACACCGTCAGCTTATGCATGAACGGAGTGTAGTTGCATGAAGTGCTGAAAAATGCATGGGTGTGAGCGCTCGTTTTTGGGCTTTTGTCGAGCGGGTAGTCGCACACTCATGTTGCTCCACCTTCTGTAGTATGTTCATATTTAAAAAAAAGTAACGAGCAATTAGTAAATTGTTACCATTATTTGTACCGAAATTATATTAGAAAATACTGCCGCCAAAAAGTAACGCGGCAATTACAAAATTACTATAGAAAGTAACCGATTACAAGTAATTAGTTACTTGTGACAAATTACTTCTCAAGTCTGCTCTTAACTTACCCTTCCAGTGTACACTTACACAAAGAGGCCAAGCAAGCTTTACAATCGCTTACGGTCATATGATCATGGTATGAGGTATTTCTAAAACTATTAACGTTTAGAAAAAAAAAAAAAAAACGTGGGGACTCACGATGAAGCTAAAATGAAATGTCCCGGACCGTTATTAATGACCTTTTCATTATTTAAATAAAATTCCCTAGGTTTTTAGAACACTTAAAGAACACCACAGAAAACCTGTTAACAAAATCAGAACGGTGGAGTTAACGACATTACAATTTCGCTATTACTGCATTGCTTATTTTCCCGCGCATGAAGTGTACAGTTGTATAGTATATAGGTACTTAAGTGCAGCTTGCAAGCCACGCAGTTCTTCACACCGAAATGCAGACCGTAAACGTCAAATGATTTTTCAAAGTTACGCTTGTTTCTCTAAGAATCCTTCGAATTCCTACATGCGCCTGCGAGCCATGTTTGTTTCTGCTTTTATTTATTATGCACGTGTGGGTTCACTCCATCCCAAGTAACCGCAGAGTTCTGAGAATGCAATACGGCTTTGCGGTGCGACTTTTCCATGGCCTATTCTTTTTTTTTTTTTGTCTGTGTACTTTCTCTTTGCTTTACAAAGTTCAAAACAAAATCTAATGCGCTACTCACGCAGGCGTACATGCGCAAAACACCCTCCGTAAAATTAAGAAAAAATGATAGACAAGAAAACTCTGTAAATAATGTGAGTATTCAGCACTATGTTCGCCTTCGACCTGTTATCCAGTGGCTTCAGAGTTACGACATTCAGAATGTTAGAACCCGATTGACTAGTTTCAGAAGTCGAACATTCATGAAACGCTGTTCACGGACATTAAAGCACGGTCTCAAATTAAAACAGGTTACTTATTGGAGGGACTCATCAACGGGCGAGAGAACAACATATTGGTGAGCAAATGACAGCATTGTTGAAGAGAGCAGAGCAAGCAGGTTAAGCGTTAGATGTTTAGGTAGCGTGAGATTTGTATGACATTGTATGGCGACAAAATCACCAAAGAGGTGACTCTGTGACTTTGGCAAGCAATGTTGCTTGTTTGTGCCTCTGATTGCCGGTTTCGAAGCATAAAAAAAACCAAGAAAATAAACCGCAATCGCTGTAGAGGGCTCAATGATTGTGAAAGGGCAATCACTCACTGTCCACCCGCCGCCTTCAGTCGCCATGTCACAGTACACAGCGACTCCAAAAGAGTCAGTAGTTGGGAAGATGACGTACACGCCGCTGTTAATCTGGCCGGCCCTTTGAAGATCGCTGCAGTCTTGAGGACGAACGCTTTCTGAAGACAGGACAGCGTTGAAAGTCGTTCGGGTAATGTTCCAGTCGACCACACAATGCATTGCTTGAGAAACTATCATGTAAATTAAAGGTATTAAGCAGAAAGCGGTTGTCTATTTGGCGACTAATTGTTCGATTTTGCTAGACAGTCGTAAAATCAACAAGATGACATACCTTACAAACAGCAAGCCACAGAGAAATATTTAAGTTCGCCATAACAATTCCGTTTTTGTGTGTGTGTGTGTTAAAATTGGAAATGCTGCAGTAAATTGGTCGCATAAGACATATAGGTGACAGTTTTGGCGGGGGTTATGTGTGAGTCCAAAGAAGGGCATCTGGAGCTCCCCATCTTGATATTGAAAATATCATCTGCTCCTTAGTTACACCGTACTTCCTATCGCCTTAGGCCTCCATGAAATTCCGAACATCTTGGCCGACATGCAAACCCTCGACCGAGATCTGCAGGCCGACTTCAGAGTCCCTGAGACGGCAAACATGTATAAATACTGCTTAAGGTATCATGCAGCCCAGTAGCTGTGACTCTATTTACGCTGTGTTTCTTTTAGCATGCAGAACCGGGTTTCCATTCACAACGAGAGTACAGTTACTTACACGGGCTATTAAAAACTATATCACACCAAATCCGGCGAATCACTGGTGGCTGATTAAAGGCACACACGACGTCTCCTTATTTAATATCTAAGTTATTTCTTTGTGTTTTTGTTGAAGGTAGCGTTTTGCTTCGGGTGTCTACAAGTATAGAGAATAGGAGTACGAATATAATGCTGGCCTTTGCACGTACACGCGCGAACTCAAGCGGGCGCGCCCGATGAGAGACTTGCTCGCACTTTTCAAGTCCACCAGGATCTTGGAGAGCTCGTTGACGTGCTTCTCTGCCCTCTCGATGGCCGAGGGAAGCGGTCCGGAGGTGTCTGCGGACACAACCCAGATGGTGGCATGCACGAGGAGGGCGCCCAGAAGTACGCTGCTGGAAACTCGACAGGCTTTCTGCACGAAAACATTTGCGCTAGTATTAAAGCATGGAACGCGGCTTCATAGAAGAATTTACTACTTCGAGAACCTTGTCCGTACGTCTAAACGTTCCTTCGCATCCTCTTAGCAGGGCTTGTCAGCACAACTGGTTTGCTTACCATATAAAATTGACCCGAATATGTATGAAATAACTCAGAAACAAACTAAGATGTATACTAATCCCTTACCAGGAATCACATCCAGAACCTCTTGGCTCGCAGCCCGATGATCTAACTTTTCTTCGGCTAATGTAAATACGCAGTACGTCTAGCTCTTACTACAGTATCCACACTCCAAAGCTTTCCTTAGTGCATGTGCTTGTTGTGGAGGACGGCGATGGCAAATAAGGAACAATTTGTCGTTCAAATCACTCCCCCGAAATGTTTGTTGAATGCATTCCAAATAAATTTAAATGATCGCTCGATGTATAATGCCTTCCATGCATTGTAGAACCTTGGAGATAATGCTCGCTGCCAATATTTTTATGAATAACAATTAAGATAACACGAAGAGGACAAACGGTCTGTGTGGTACAATAACTGATAACTGAAAGATAGCGGCGGCCGACAGGTATGTAATATGTCACCATCTGGTGGTCACTTCCGGAAGGTGTATATGACGTTCCTTCCCGACAAACAGCGGGAAAGATTTTCTGCACTGTACTCAGTGGGAGCAAGAGGGACGGCGCTCTCGAGTTCTTAAATCACACAATTATCCTAACTCGCTATTCTAATTTAAATATGTGCTTTAATTAAATCAAAATCAGTCTCACTAAGAAATAAAGAATATTTATTAAAATATAAGAATATAGGGGTCAACGCGAGACTTTTGGGATTTCTCTTATGTATTCACTTATCCAAGAAATTCACGGAATCACTCAAAAAGTGATTTCTATACCAGTCAACCGACCACAGAAAGGTTACTCGGCTACTTCTGAGGTTTACTTAAATTTACTTAAATTAAATTAAATCATAAAGAACGAACAGGCCGCGTTTGAAGGGCAGTGTATTGCTGCATGCGCATACATTTCCCGGATCCTTGAGTAGACCCGAACCTTAAACGGAGCACAGATTGGAGAATGGGAAATCCGAGAGGATTCTTTTTCTCCGCGCCCGGTCGACACTCCGATGGGGTGCCTTATGATTCGAGGACACTGTGCCACGTGCGAAACCGGTGGGAGGGCAGGCATTCAATTTATGGCTAACGGTGGCGGAAAAGTTTGATCTAGAATCTAGATTGACGGGCTCCACTTTAACGGTGACTAGTAGTATTGATGCATAAAAATGAATTAAGTTTCTCATTCTCTCGCTCGAAAAGAAAAGTGAAGAAAGAATTACAAGAATTACTAAATAATTAGAACCTTAGATTAAAACATTTACTTCTAATGCACGGCCAGTAGTGTGCAAAGCGGTGTTTTAGGACAGAGAGTCTCGAAACGAATTCATTTTAAAGCAACCTAACGCGCCACCGGCCAACGCAGGATGTCAACGTATCGGGACATTTCTTTTAGAATTCGTGCAATTTTTAACGTTACTCTCTTCTCATACAAGAGTTTGTTTATCACTTGCTGGTGACGCTCAAGTGAAGCAAACGCTGCTAGCAATTAGGGGTTTTGCACAGTATCGAGGGAATAAGCCGTTAAGAACAAATATATCTTCGTCGCATTAAGCAGCAAAAAAAAAAATTTTTTTTTGTTTTATGGTAGAGGTTTACGTAGTACACCTAAACATACGAGGGATTTGTTGAAACACGAATAGGCATATGTACAGTCTCCCAAGATATAAAAAAAAAACCTTTCACAGAGGCCTTTTATTGTACGGTGCTAAGTACACGTTGGCCTTACACACTCAGGCCAACAACGCGTTACAACTACACAGGCCAGCTACACTACAGGAGGCATAAAAAAAAGTGAAACAAAGGTTCGTGCTCATTCTCATCCGAAACCACGGCCCCTCAATCCTTTCTTCCGCTCTCCATCCAGCGGCCTGCCTTGACGAGGGGGTTCTTCATGCTGTTGGGAACTGTACATCATAGGGGCAGCCCCAACAACTTTTAGCGCTCGATATCTTTTTTCTCAGAATGTTTTCTTCGCGATGCGAGCGGATCACTATTTTTTTTTTTTCATTTATCCGAGCAAGATTTTACATACAAACGCAGGAAACTAACATAAAAACAACAAGGTAGATGGTCCGTTTTGAACCAACATAACTTTTCACAATAACTCGTTAGAAAATGTTAAACAAAGAAGAATCGTTCGGTCATATCGACGCAAGCGTAAAAACACATCGACGCAAGCGTAAAGACACAAAAACTCGCGGTGAGCCCTTCTGTCAAGCAAACTAAAACCGCCACGAAGTCAAGGAGGTTACGATAATCATCGTAGACTTTCCATTTCATGTATTTATGTCGTCCATGAAGACATTCCTGCAAACCATAGATTTCCCCGGTCACCGAGCTGGAGAACTGCGCGATAGCAATTAGTTTCGCTCTTTCGCCTGTAAATCCCCGGCATACCTTTCCAGCGCTTATCACTTAGGACGAAAAATGCTGAGCCACTAAAGTGTGGACGCGTAAGCGGAGTTTGGTATACTCCGCAGAAAAGAGCTACCGTTCATGCCCAGTAGACGTGGCCCAGTCCACCATACAAAGAAGGCAGCGCGCAGAACGCTCTACACAACTTGCCAGAGAAACTGTACAGTGGACATTACAGAATGTCGGTAGCTCTTACCATTTTTAGGAACTCTCGTCCACGGCAGCGCTTTTCTCGAATGCAACCTCTTCTGCGTCAAAGAGCCGCGTACCACTGAGTCTTGAAGAAGGAAGCGTACCGACGAGGAGGAGGTCAGAAAGAGGCGTTGTGAGGTCAAGACCCGTACGATCGTTGCGGACGTCTGTGTGTGCGCTTCTTGGGTTGCCGCCAAGCAACATCCGGTGCTTAAAAGACCCGCTCGTCCATCTTTCCCCGGACTGAGATCATCAGCCGACTTCAGCCTGAAACGCGCGTGGCGCCTCGAACGTATAACTTTTGCGCCAAGCAGCTTAAATTGTCTATTGTGCTTTTTTTTTTTTTTTTTCGGGCTATGTTCGTAATGATTCAGTCGGCGCTCCTTCATCCTCTGTCCGCTCGAAACACGTACCGACAGTGTTTATTAACTTTTTCCGATTTATTTTGTCACTCGTGCGTTTAATGTGCGCAGAAATGAAGGAAACGGATGTTCATCAGCGAGAGTATAGAATGTAACAAATGTGGAATGGTCAATTGGCAGTCTCCACGAGTCGCCGGACACAGGCCTAGGCAGCGGAGAGAGGGCTTCATGATAACGTTTCTTTCGCTCTTATTTCCTCCCCTTCAGTAAAAGCTGATGGTGTCTGTACAAAGGTATCGCCTTCTCTGCGTGTCTATCGGGCTTGGCCAACACCACCCAGATTCATCAAAGCCCCTGCACTAGCATTTCGACGTCATCTTAGGGAGAACGAGCGCAGTCACAGACTCGACACGAGTGATGCGGCAACGTTCGGCTAGCAACCTTCGCCCGAACAACGGTCGAAGGACATTGAGCGTCCAAGTGTGATGACGTCACCATCCAAGTGTGATGACGTCACGTGAACGTGGAGGGGGCGGTTTACAGGCTGGAATTATTCGGGGTGATATGTTAGCTCGCCGGATATTTGAGGGAGGCATAGCTAGACTCTCCTTCGCGCGATTCAGAGAACCCATAAAGTTGTCTGAAGTCCGCCCTACGGACACTAAGAAGAAGAAAGAGCTCCGCGTCTGATAAAGGAGCAGAGTGCGGCGCGTAACCCTTGGATAACGTGCCGGTGCCGGATCGGCGCGCCATGACTCGCTACCCGTAGAGTCCCGGGCACCGCGGCACCGGGCAAGTGGAGGCTGACGACACTTCCGGATAAGAACTTGGTCGCTCTTTCTAGTTCGGGCATTTGTCTAATCACGGCTTAAATTAGTCAGTTATATTTGCGAGGTGCAGAATTCAGTTGTCTGGGTTATGGATTCAGGGCGGTTCCGTCAGCTGCCACAACTGAACAAATTTTTTGAAATACACACGTTTTACTCTGGCCGATCAGCTGTTATTTATACATTTAAATATTCTATTGAGAGAACTGCAAATGACGGTTGCACCAAAACCAGAATTCAAATGTTCCCGCATTCTCCTGTGGGCTGACATCACATGTTGTATAACTTGCAAGTCAAGCAGTCAGTGTAAAAGCGCAGTATTCAGTGCCTTTTGTTTTGTTCGTTTGCTGGCGTGAGTTTGTTTAAGATTCATTTCACACCATCGAACTTCTTGTAACTAGGGCTGGGTGTCGATTAAAAATTTTAACCCGATTAATCGCCACCCTTTAATCGATTAATTATTCGATTAATCGGTTGTCTTGCCTTTCAAGACTTGTTTTATTCTCTGTAACATGGCGCAAAGGACATTTAGAATTGAGGATACATATAGTTCAACGATTCAAAGACACATATTTTTGCTCCAGCTCCTAAGACAGATGTTTGTCCACATTCTCCGACAGGAAGACAAGAAGTCAGAGCTTGGGCGATGTTTTCTTCTTTTTTAAGACAAATGAACCTCGATGAGAAGGCGTTGATTGTAGTCTGCGTTTTGGCGGATGGTCCTTGCTGCAGATGTGTCCTCCACCTGTAGGCGATACTGAAGCGAACTTACGCTTCCACTGTACCAAAACGGCTTTCTGCAGATGATGCAGTGGACTTCCTTCGAGTTAAAAACTTCACCGCTGGAGTTTAAACCCAAACTTTCCAGCGAGATTGCCTTTCATACTCGTGAACTCGTCCATTTTTACGTGCCGAATACTGGAACAAGTAACCATGGCGTTGTTAGTTTCCCAGCTTGCTTTTCTACTTGTTTGTCTTGCGTGGGCAGGATTTGTAATAGATCCTCAACATATGAAGTTTCGCGGTCACGCGGGGATCAATTGCGGGCCCGGCTTGTTCATCTGGTCTCGGCAAAACTGTAATGTATATCCTCAAACACGTGACGCTTCGCGAGCGCGAAAATTGAACCTTGCTCATATAGCACCTGGCAGGGAACGGACTTCTTTTGAGTACCAATTAAAAAACCGAATAACCGATTAATTGGAAGGTTAACCGATCGATTCCCCAGCCCTACTTGTAACCCATGGTGGATGAGGTGTACAGCTTCCATACTAATAACGTTATTAGATTCCCTCATTTACGGAACTGCTCATAGACACTGCTTCCACGAGCAGTACTTCCCTCACTCACCACGACTCGCCTGCCGTCGCTCGAAACGCCACTGTTTTGGAGGTGGCCGTTGCAGTGACTATAGTTGGATATGCCGGGCGGTGACGATCCGTGAGACAATATCGTCTCACTCCTTTAACGCAATTTCGGAAACCATGAGGACACGACGGATCGCTCATGACAGGAATAAGGCTAGGTAAAGAGGTAAGTGTCCTCCCCGACGACCATTGTCGTATGTGGGTTTCCATTCTTACGCACTAGTCTCTCTCTGACTGCCTTGCAATCACTCGTGCTTACTTCACGAGCACCAAGATAGTGCAAGCTTGCCACACGTATGTAATGTTCTTGTTCCGGTAATTCTTTGGGGGAGGAACGGTAACTTCTCCCCAGGTTGCTCCGTACCTTCGCGTGCATGCTGTAAGTTGTCGGTTGTTTTTGTTCGTCGCTCTAGTGGGACTTGTGCATTACGAACCGCTATCGTTTGCCGATCAGCCCCGTCGTCTACGCTCCGGGGTAAGTTCAAATTCCGATGAATTCGCAATACGTTTTATTTTAGTCCGTGTAAAGGTCGTAAGTCGAACGGACAACCCTTGGAGGCACGACGAACGTAGAATTACCTTACGCCTCAAATAAAATCTACGTACCCATAAGGTTTTTTTGTTTTTTTTTTAAGTCACGTCAGTTTCGAGTTGTAAATTGCTACTGAGACACAAACTGAAATATAATCGACCCGTGCATACTGATCATGCATGCCTTTGTTGAGAAATTTTAATCTAACGCTCCCTGTGTCCGACCAGGCACTGTGCTTATATTTGCCGAGACAATTTATTGCTGTAAGGAAATTACAGTTTTCTAAATCAACTGTTCGTCATTACAAGATCAAATACCCCCTGGGATGTCATGTCAACAAAGTGTCCCTTTACTTATGATATGTTTACACAGTTTACAGATGTTAGGCTACACAGCCAATCATCTTGAACAGGTAAGTGACGTTATACTCTCAAGACCCATTCACACATTTGCAACCGAGTATAGGACCGACTGAGACAAAACCGGTTTTTAAGCCACTTGTGACGGCTTAGGACTGGATGCACTACTGCAGAGCTGGTCCTAAGCCATCGCAAGAGGCTTTAGAACCCGTTTTATCTCAGTCGGTCCTACTCGGTTGCAAGTGTGTGAAAGGAACTTCACGAGTATACATTTTTTCATTATAATTCGGGACCACCATGGAAAACACGGTATAACAAGGTGTTCACACAATTACTATTCAATGTTCTTCTCATTGTTACTCCTCACTCTCTGATAGAAGCATTAAGTTGCTGTTAGGTAGATAATAAAACATGCATACAGAGGGAAAAAAGTAGTAACATAGGCATTAAACATCTGATGGGGTTCCTTTTGGGGTAAAAGACGTAATGGGATGTTCACGTGCCAGCACTTTTCAAGAACTGGGCCCGTGAGTGCAAAGAAATGAGTGAAGAGATGACCTTAGAAGCATTTGGAATGCAGGGCCACGCCGGAGGCAGCAGGACTCACAAGTGAAAGGGCATCGGCTCACAGAGTTTTGCTTTTCAAGACTTCCTCCTGGTGTGACCAGCTCCAGCCGAGCCGGCATTCTCGGTCAAGACTGGTGTGAGTGCTTCGGGGCACCTTTCAAGTTCACGGTGGTCCCGACCTAGAAGCCACCACTGGCCTCAAGCTTTCCCCTTAGCTCGTTGGCACTCACTTCAGCACTAGACCACCCGGCACCCAAGTCTACAACAAAAAGGCAAAAAAAAAAAAGTTCGGAGGACATCTAAGCACTTTTTATGAGTTATGAATGCGAAAGTATGAATGTCGTTCTTCTGCTCCCTTAGTTCATCTGTGGTGTACTGGCGTGGAGGGCCATGTTTTGCTACTGCCGAGGTTGCTGCCGCCGACGATGTAGATGCCTCAGGCGGCACCATGTTTCTCGGCGCCAAGAGGAGCAGGGCCGACTTGGCTAGAAACAGCGTCTCAGCTGAGACTGGGGGGAAAGAATGCGATGCCAAAGCCAGCGCACGAGCTGAGCGGGACCCTGGCTGCGTCACAAGACGCTTCCGCGCCCCAACCTTTGCACCTCTGCAGTGCCTTCTTTCACCGAGTCTCAGCTGAGATGCTGCTCTAGCAAGCCGCCTCAGAAGCAGCCGAAAGCCCCCCCCCCCCCCCTCCCCTGCGGCAACGCCCGACACAAGGGCAGCGGCCGAGCGCATGCTTTCGTGAAGCGGCCGCAGCCCCCTCCCCCCCCCCCCCCCCCCCCCTTTTCTGGCAATGCCTGACATAAGAGTGGCAGCCGAGCGCGCGGTCTCGTGAAGTGACCGCCAATGGCTATCCAGGAGCCGTTTTGCTTAGCTAATGGGAAAATAGGCATTTCTTTCACACTTTTTGCGGTTACAGATGGCGTCGACTCTGCTCCATGGGATAGCTAATGTTTTTGCATTAATAAGTTTGTTCGTAAACTATCAAGTTAATTTCTGCACTGCTGCTGCGATCCCTTATCGTAAGAGGCTCATATTTGACCATATAATATATATATGGGCTGGTTTGATGTAAAAAGCATTACCCGCAGGCCAAAGTAACGTAGAGTACTGTGCAGCGCATAGCAGAATAAGCAATGAAAGGGAGGGAGTACTAAGTCATGATTATATTGCTGCATGCATGTCCGAGAAGGAACGCTTCATTGTACATCTAGAAGATTCGTGTTTATTTTTACTCTTAGTGCAAAAGATAAGGAGACCAGGATGACTTCGCCTATACTTCGGTCACTAGCTGCGTGCAGTACATGCGAAGGCAATGCCACGCGAGGGGAGGAAGGACAAGCACTACCAAGGCTGGGGAAGAGGAGAGAAACCCTTTCCCGTTTTGCCTCCCAAGTTCCTAGTGCTTGCCCTTTCCTTCCCTCCAGTACCCTCCTCTCCCGTCCCGCTTTCCTAATGCTCACCCTTTGTCTCCTGGCACTGCCATTGCCCGTACTGCACACAACTAATGACAAGAAGTATAGTCAGTATCGCCCTATCTCACTCCCAAACATTCTAGGTCGTATATTCGATGTACCGAGTGTAGCAGATAAGGAGCTGACCGCAGCTTTGCGGACACATTCAGACTCTCCCGACGACGACGTGCTCTTTCGCTAGCGCTCGGCCGTCGGCATCACAGCTCCCGCTGTTTTTTACGAGTGTAATCACATTAAGAATTTCCGAACTATCAGTTGGCTTCAAAAAGATGGAACTGCAATTATAGGGACAAACATGTTTACAAGCATTAGCTACACCAGCGTTAACACCAGCGCTAACACCTATGTCTACAAAATATTAATTGAACACATTGGCCAACTCTTGATTGGTTAACTTTATACCTCTATGCTGCAGTGTTTCGATATTATTTGATGCCGAAGCGCTTTTAACCAGCGAACCTAAATGTTTCCACATTATGTCGGTACGGCTGTTTGCCGACGAATCGCTTCGCTTCACGGCGTAAATAGTGTCTATTGCCAGAACAACGCGGAAAATATATTCTCAATTTAGCAGTTCAAACCGGTTCGAACCGGTTTGAACCGTTATTTTTTGCTCTCCAGAACTGAACCGGAACCGAACCGAAAGCCGTAAACCCAAATTCGAACCGAACCGATAAAAATTTCGGTTCGTACCTACCACCTCCACCAGAATGTCACGAATGACAAGGTGAAACAAAAAATAACTGGGGGAACTGAAACGTTTAATGGGGCAAATAAGGCAAATTTGTGCCCCCCCCCCCCCCCCAAAAAAAAAAATATATATATATATATATGTATATATATCTATATAGATAAATAAAAAAGATAACAACAGAGCGCTGCGGGCGTCGAAGGCGGCGTAGCAGCAGGATCGAACGCTGAGGCGAACCTGACTGGCTCATCACGCGAAGCCCCTTATGTACACGCGTGGGCTTCTGGAATGATCGGCGTAGAGGGTCCGACGCGTACAACATTCGGATCTCGAACACGCACCAAGATTCTCGAATTTAATATAACACTAAATTGCAGGAATAAACAAAAGATGCGTCGCTCTCAGGAACCGAACCTTGGCTTTCCGCGTGGAAGTCAGGCACAATAATCGTTAGGCCACGCGCGCGCTGCCTACTTGGCCAGCTGCGCGCGGCACTATGAAGTGTTCCGACGGCGAGTTTTCGTGTCACTTGGGCGAATGCTCTGGAATTGCTGAATCCACTTTTAAGTCTAAAAGAGACAGCTGGCTCAAGGCATTGTGTTGTCATACCTGGAGATTATCCTCTACAAAATGGAATCAGCGCGCAAACAACGAAGACACAAGGAAGAGAAAGTGACAGGACAAGCGCTGGACTTCAACTGAACGTTTATTGAAAAAGAAACTAACGAGGAAAACAAACAAACCACCAAATCATCACCCCATCAAAACGTGCTCAAAAAAGCTACCTCTCTCTTAAGTAAAAAAATCGATGTTTGGCTGACGCATTGGTCACCTTCCTTTCCTATCTCAAAAGCTTCGAGCAGCTCGCGTGCTGTCTTATCGGCCCCTCTTCCCAAAATCGAGATGCGATCAAATATCGGCTCGCACGAGCAAGTGCTGCAGTGTAAAGGCAAGTGACCGCCCGAGGTTGATCGCAGCGAAAGCGCATGTTCACGTGCTCGGTCATTAACACATCGGCCAGTCTGGCCGATGTATACTCGACCACAGCTTAACGGGATCCTATAAACTAGTATACATACATCGGCCAGACTGGCCGATGTGTTAATGACCGAGCACGTGAACACGCGCTTTCGCTGCGATCAACCTCGGGCGGTCACTTGCCTTTACACTGCAGCACTTGCTCGTGCGAGCCGATATTTGATCGCATCTCGATTTTGGGAAGAGGGGCCGATAAGACAGCACGCGAGCTGCTCGAAGCTTTTGAGATGGGAAAGGAAGGTGACCAATGCGTCAGCCAAACATCGATTTTTTTACTTAAGAGAGAGGTAGCTTTTTTGAGCACGTTTTGATGGGGTGATGATTTGGTGGTTTGTTTGTTTTCCTCGTTAGTTTCTTTTTCAATAAACGTTCAGTTGAAGTCCAGCGCTTGTCCTGTCACTTTCTCTTCCTTGTGTCTTCGTTGTTTGCGCGCTGATTCCATTTTGTAACGATGAACCAACTCGCCTGCATTGCCACTTAGATTATCCTCGCAGCGAAGCGGACAGAGCAGTAAACAAAAAAAGGATTCCGACCTGGATTCCTCCTTAGTCATGACTCGCGACCATGAACAAAAAATTCGACACTCTGCTAGATTTAAAAAAAAAAAGTGGATGGGATCGAGCATTTTATTCAAGATCTGTCGGACAAGTAGGATACGGTGATAAGCCAGACGGCTCAGCATGATAAGGAGCTAAAAGAACAGAGAAAGAGAGA